ACATAATTCTCTTTCTGTATTTCATGTTATCGCATTAACTAATACCAGTGTTGAAAAAAATAATAATAATAAAAATAAATCACGCATTATGATAATGATGTGTGGTTTAATGACTATAAATTAATTGGCTGGTACAGTGATAGAAAAAACATTCACTTAATTGACAATAACTGACCTCAAATTTATGTGTCTCCCTTAGACTGTTTGAATATAATCAAATGTTCAATACATCTTTTTCGAAACGGTTTATCAGACTAAATTGTAACTTTTTTTTTTTTTTTGGTTTGAACTAGCGGAAGTATTTTATCAAAACGCCACTCACTTAGCCCTAATCGTTTATTAAAATAATAAAAATACATTGTTCACATTAGTTTCTCTTTAAATAATATTTAACAACAAATCGGTATCAGTCTCTATTCCACTTTCACAGTATGAAGTCGCTCGAAATTGTCAATTAAAATTTTTCAGTGTTTGCTAATTATGTGCAATAGGTATCTATTTTCTTTTCGTATATTTATGCTAGTTGAAATTTAAAACAAATATAATTTAAAACCACGAACGTACACGACTGTACATGATCTTCTAAGCATTTTAAGTATAAACTGATATATTTTAAAGATAACTTCATTACTTGACAAATTGTTGAAGGGTATATACGTGTTTTTCAAGTTGAGTTTTTACGGATTCTACCGAATTACGGCTGTGGATGCGCATAAATGTATTTTTTATTGCGTGTGTTTTATTTTAACGAATTAATCAAGATCATCTGCACCGTATGTTCCAAATCCTTTAAACCGAGCTCAAATTTACAAAAATATCGTAAATCGTTTAACGGAGTTACACTTTTATACAGCAACTGTCCAGAAGTGTTTACGCGCAGAAATAATGTCGTAAGACATAACTATGAAAACATCGTAAGTATTGTTTAATCATCACTACATTATATTAATAAATATAATCTGAATATTATACTAGTTAAAGATTTAAAAAATCTAGTTTGTTATTCATATCTTCATAATATATGCAATATATTAAATCACAACCGAGCAAATGTTTTTTTTCATCCTTAAATCGACCAATAAAAACTGAAAAACTATGAAAAATCCATGCGAAATCGGTGGAAATGAAATGTACCATTATTAGCTAATAGATAACACGGAAAACTTCTACAATAATGACGATATATTAATTTACAAATATCAAGAGGACGGTGAATTAAATATACTAAAACTCTAAATAATTCAAAAATATAAAAACAAACAAGCTTTAATGAAAACAAATTATAACAATATATAGAAAAAACATACTAAAATAAATCTATTTTGTAGAAAAAAAAAATAAATAAAATGTGTATAGGTATAAATTATTAAAAACACCATAAAATGAAATAAAAAAGTAAATAAAAATGTTTAAGTTTAAAATAACGATTTTACAATCGAATTCGCTTATGCTTAGTTCAAACTTAACATCAAAAAAGTAAAAAATAAAACTTTTCCATGCGAAAACGCACAGTATACTGATAATAACCTATATTATATTATTATGTAATTTAATCGTCCAAATTTGTTATATTATACAACCATCTACAACGATTACAACAACTATCAAGTGAAAAATTCATATTAAAAATTCGTTTTATGTGGTTAAAGCAAAACAAGCTCATATAGAACTAGTTTAGACATCGGGATTTGTTGAAACTAACTCATCATACGCTAGGAAAATAGTTTGGTATTGCATGAAGAATATAGATAACTTGTTTATCATACATTACTAGGATGGTAAGTGTTGCTAAATTCTTTACCATATCCAGGTTATCACTTTTGTCGAAAATTTTGGAGTTACAAAGGAGGTTCTAAATATCGCGACCTAAGTAAACATTAGTTGTCCACCATAACTGATTTTATACAGATAGTTGAAGTTGGTATCCTGTTAGATATTACAATCTCAACAAATTGTAACGGAGACCACGCTCAGACGAAAACAGCCCTATTCAGGGTCACCAAAAACATTATTGTGACGATGTATAACGGCAACTAATACAGCGGAGGAATAGTGTCGTTTTACATCGTCGACTGGATGGATAAAAATTCAACCAATGATAATGGAGGGTCGATATCTGATTGGGTAAATACACCGATCACTTTTCGGAACATCGACTCTCCATTCTTCTATTCACAACTAATAACATATCAAAATTTCAAGATAAAAAGAATAGATATACCCAACGGCGATTACGATGACGATTGCAGAGACTATACGGCGACAACGGTGGCAGAGATAATGACAACGACGACTGCTGCGAATACGGCGAAGGTGATTGCGGTGTCTACGGCGATCTCGGCTATGGCAATAACGACGTTGACAACTGCACAGTGGCTGCGGCTAACGGCCGTAAAAACAATCACGAATCCGGCTCCAGCGATATTTACACGCGGGGCTTCGCGATTTTTGTATCTATTCGTCAATACTATAAATGGCTCTTTTCAGGGCCAACATCCGTAAAAAACCTTTCCGGCGTGCTTGCGTAAGCGTCCGCTAGTAAAGTGATCACGATCGATACGCTCGCTTGTTTAAGTCTGCTGTCAACCATGCATTCAATTTGTTGTTGCACATGCTCAGGTCCGATACTGCCCGACGTGACCATTTGTGCGTGGTCCGGAGTGTTTCTGTTTTTATTGAACGAATTGAATCATTTTTATTAAATGATAAATAAATAATTTAATATTTATTTCCTTGTATATTTATATAAATATTCAGGTGTAGGTAATCCCGGCAAACCGTTTCAAAGTGACATCAGAGACTTTTTTTTATGCAGTGGAGGTTATTTCCAAAGCAACAGAAACCTGTTATTGCTTGTATCATATGGAACATGTGTTACTTTATTAATTTTCCATTTCTTTTCTTGAGATCAGAAAGAATGATGAGGGTACACATGGCCATGATCCACTAGACTTTGTCTCCCAATCGTTAAGCGTGATATTCTGTTCAACTCTGTGAATAGCTTAATTATATTAATAGGTTAATATCTTTCAATTTGTATTTTTGGACCGGGTGATCACTCTGTTCCTTTTCAAATTCAGTGGATCATCTGTAAAGATCTATCTATATATTTGTTCTACATCAGCTGATTCTGTATGACACAGAGTTCCCCGAGAAAGTAATTAATTTAAAATGTTATGGATTTATAGTTATTTTATATTTTATATATTTTATACTATAATACAGGGGTAGGAAACTGGCAGCCTTCGAGCCTTTTTGTATCTGGCCCGTGCTATATTTTCTAATTACATTATACAATTTTAAATTTTATCGTCTATACTCTATATCTATATTCATATATTATCGATATAATAATTATCTGGTATTGAACATTGTTGAATGTCTGAATGCCATATACATGTATACGCAGGACCGGTGTTAGGGGGGGGGGGCAAAACGGGGCATTTGTCCAGGGCCTCGCGCCTTCAAGGGCCTCGCGCTTAAAATGTTCATTGAAAAATATATTGATATTATAAATTATTATATTAATTCATTATACTATGAATAAATGTATAGAAATCTCCTAAAATAAAACGTGAAATGTGTGGATCGCCTGGCGAGTACGATTTCACGAGAAATCGGTTGGCGTGTATTAAAACAAATTATCAAAACAACAATATTATACTATATTATAATAATGTCATGTATACAGTATATACACCAACGTCGACCCGTAACACGCCACACGGTATGGAAACCGGGAGATCTAGAAAGTTTATCTTATCGCATTTCTTGAATTGAATTAGTCATTATCCGATATCACGTGCAGCTGTCACCGAGTCTGATCACATATTACGCCAGCTATACTACGATAACTATAGATACGTACAATTTAACGTACCAATTTTGAGAATTTGAGTGCTATCGAGTAACGACAACATTAATTGAAGTCAAAGATTCTCAATTTGTACATAATATAATTGAAAACCCCGATGACTTAATCAATAATCGAGCGTCAGTCCACCTACTGTCGTCCGTTATCGGTTATGACGCCGTTATTACGACTGTTGTGCGTCTTCCACCGAGTGTGAATCGTGTGTTTGCCGTTGTTGCTGTTGTACTGTTGTGGACGTTTGGTTCAACGCTAATTTGAATTTTAGTAATTTTACCATTGCCGGCTTGTGACAACGGATCAATTATTATTTGTCCAGGTAATAATTGTTAAAATATTAAATACATTTAATAATAAAATATAAATTTTAATGATTTTAAACTTCTACTGAACGTGTACACCAGTGGTGCCCGACCCACGGCCCGCGGGCCACATGTAGCCCGCGAAGATATTCTATGTGGCCCGAATTTTCTAAAATAAAAAAAAATTTTAAAATTGTATGAAAAAAATTTTAAAATATTTATTTGCATACCTATATTATTTTTACATATATTTTACTTATATACTTTGTGGCTCACTTGATGATAATTGTTTACCAAAGTGGCTCACCAAAGGAAAAAAGTTGGACATCACTGGTATACACACAAAATACCTTGATCTGTTTAGTGTGTAAACAACATAACTATTTTCCTCAAATGTTTATATAAATAAAAAATCACATAAGTGATAGATATTAGATATTACCTGTTTATATAAAGTCGGTTTTTTTTTATTTTATTAAGTCGGTCGAAAGACACTTTCCAAAACCAATTTTTATTTATGAAAATAATATTTTTATATTATTTTTGAATAACATATTAGATTCTGAGTGTAGTGAAGGATTTAATAGTTTTAAAATGTGTATTTTTATTTTAATTTTATGAGTACAACAATTTTCATCACATATCGATCCGTTCTTTACACCCATACCCTGCTTCTAGTAGCATTTTTAATATTATTATGTGTAACTATAAGTACTTACTACTTTGACGTATCTCATTTTAAAATTTTCAAAATTAAAAAAATTACAGGCTTTCCAGTTACCATAAAGAACTATAAAAACATCGAATATTTGATTTTTTTTTCCAAAATGAGTAGTCGGCAGCGAGACAAATATCGTAAATTTGATTCAGGTTACCAAAAACGAGTAAATAAACTAAAACTTGAGCAAAATCTAAAAAAGCAACGTGGTGCGTTAAACAAATTTGTTTTATCTCCAAATATTCCTGAGAGAGTAGCTGAAGTCCAGAATGAAATTGAAAATTACGAGGAGAAGTTTATGTCAAAAAGTGATACAGAGCAACCTGGTTGTTCCAAAGAATATGTGACTCAAAATAGTAATGAGGTAGTTGATAAAGATAGTGGTTTATCAATTGATTCTAAAATAGTGAACAAAAGAGAAGCAAGAATTGATTTTAGTGATCCAGCGCAGTGGCCACAGTCATTAAATCATGATATGCGAGTGGAAATTGTTCTTAGTAAATCTGAAAAAATCGAATTTTATGGTAATTATTCAAAAAATGAACAAAGTAGAAAATTTAGTAATAAACTGTTTTATAGAACAATGAAAAATGGTGAAAAAATATCGAGAAATTGGTTATTGTATTCAAAATCATGTGATCGAGTTTATTGTTTTTATTGCAAACTTTTTAGTTCACAATTAAAAATTCCAAACCCTGGTAGTTTAACTAATTATGGCACCTCAGATTAAACATATATCATAAAAACTGGAACAACACGAAAATTCTTCTTCTCATAAAGAAACTGTTTTATCTTGGAACGAGTTAAAGACACGAATAATTAAAAACGAAACAATTGATGATGTCCATTTAAAAGAAATAGATAAAAAAAAGCAATATTGGAAAGATGTACTTAAACGAATTTTATCAGCAATTTTTTATTTGGCAAAACATGGTGATGAATTTCGGAGATCTTCTGATGTCATTTACACGGAACATAATGGTAAATTTTTAGGTCTTATAGAGATGATGGCCAAATTTGATCCAGTTATTCAAGAACACGTTCGTCGGATAAAAAATAATGAAACTCATGATCATTATTTAAGTCACCAAATACAAGATGAACTGATTGAACTTATAGCGCAAAAAATTCGTCAACAGATTGTAGAAGAAATCAAAGAAGCCAAATACTTTTCTATTATGATGGACTGCACTCCAGATGTTAGTAGAGAAGAGCAACTTTCTATAATTATTCGTATTCTAGATATGGGAAACAAAATTATGTCTACAATACCTTGCATCAAAGAATATTTTATAGAATTTATTAATGTTCATAATACAACTGGATATGATTTGACAAATATTTTATTAGACAAATTAAATAGTATAGGTATAGATCTAAAAGATTGTCATGGACAAGCGTATGATAATGGTGCCAATATGAAAGGCCAGTACAAAGGGGTTCAATCAAGAATTATAGCAAAAAATCCTAGAGCATTTTTTTCACCATGTGCATGTCATAATTTAAATTTGTTGTTGGGTGATATAGCAAAGAGTTCCACCGTAGCGGTTGGGTTTTTTGGCACCATACAAAGGATATATTGTTTGTTTGCATCTTCCATAAAACGCTGGGATATTTTAAAAAAACATTGTACATTTTTAACACTAAAGCCACTTTCAGAAACCAGATGGGAATGTAAAGTTAACAGTTTCAAAGCTATACGTTACCAAGTACCCGAACTTTTTAGAGCATTAGAAGAAGTGGCTTATACAACTTCAGATCCAAAAACGAAAAGTGAAGCTCAGTCATTAGCTTCAAATAAACTAGAAAGCTATGAATTTATTCTTAGTTTGGTCATTTGGTATGAAATATTAATCGAGGTAAATACTGTAAGCAAAACTTTACAAAACATTAATATTCATTTGGACAAATGTAATAACCTTTTAAATGGTCTTTTAGAATTTTTAAAATCATTTCGAATGAATGGTTTTGAATCATCAAAAATTAAAGCTAATGAAATAGTAGACATCATGAATATTAATAAAACATTTAAAAAGAAACAATTTGATTATAAAAATTCTGATGAAATAAATGATGATCCAGAAAAAAATTTCCGAACATTTTATTTTAATGTAATTGCCGATGGAGCTTTATCGTCATTTAGTGAACGATTTAATCAATTTCAAATTTATAACAACAATTTCAGTTTCTTATACAACATTATTGAACTCCGAAAAATAACAAATGACGACATTATGAAGAATTGTTTAAATTTACAAAATTATTTAAGTGATGGAGATTCATATGACATAGTTGCTTCTGAATTTTATGAAGAGTTACTAGTTTTTCGTCATACAATGAAAGAAGATTCTACTCCTATAGGAGCACTCAGTTTTTTTTAAAAACAATGCCTGGTTCTTTTACTGCTTTTCCTAACATAGTTATTTCACTCCAAATTTTGTTAACCATACCAATAACCTCAGCTTCAGCAGAAAGGAGTTTTTCAAAGCTCAAAATAATCAAAAAATTACCTCAGAAACACAATGTCTCAAAAACGATTGACTGAATTGGCTACGGTTGCAATAGAAAATAAAGTAGCTAAGGACTTTAAAAATGTTATAGAATTGTTTGCGTCCAAAAAATCTAGGAAAAAATTTTAAATATTCAATATCAATTAAATTTATTATTATTTTTTTATTTCTAATGTTTAAATGTTTCGTTATGTAAGATAAAACTCTAAGTCTCTAACTAATAATGACCACATTTGTAATTGATAGTAATTAATAGTATACTAATTGTAAGTTGACAAGTGTAAGACAAGTGTTGACACGTTTAAAACTAATCATTTAAGAGTTGAAAATGTATATTTATTAATGTATTTTTTATTTTTAAAGTTAATTAAAACAATTGTTTTGTTCAGAACATACATTTTTAATACATTTTCGCCTTTAATTATGGCCCGATTATGGCCTCTACAGACTATAGGTGACTATGGCTATTGGTAAAATAAGTTTTGCCCAGGGCCTCGCAAAAGGTAGCGCCGGCCCTGTGTATACGTATAGCTTTTAAACATAGTTGCTTATGCCGAACTATTTAACTATATCAGTTTCTTCGTATCATTCATGTTGTGTTGTTGTGTGTGTTGAATTTATTATTTCGGTGTACATAAATGCTTATTAAAATTCATATTTCGAATGACCCTTTTTTTTTCCTATGCTTTGGCCCACTAGATTTTATTTTCTAAAAATTGGCCCTCTAGTAACTTTGAGTTATCTAACCTTCTATAGTAAATCGAAAATAAATTATTTATTTAAAATTGTATTTTCAAATACATTACACGCATGAAGATACCAGCGCATAGCATTATTTTGAGAACTCATTAGTCGTATTATTGTTGTGTGTACATACAAAACATAAACATGAGTTCCATGAACGGAAAATATAAAAAAAAATATTTTAAGGAAACCTTCAAAGAAGATAATTGTCAGCAAAAAAATTCTTAAAATTTGCTTTTATGATAAATAACATAATTAGGCTTTTTTCTATAACGGAATACCTCGATTGGAAGCGACAATCACATGCATATTCCTGAACACCCTAAATAAGTAAATCCATCGTTTTTTTTTTTTTTTTTTTTTACAAAAACGTGAACATTGTAACATTATTGTATAGTTGAAATAAAAATGACAACACGTTCAACGGAATTTCAACAACCTATCTAAAGCATTTGCCATTGACAACGACTGCAATGACCCTAGAAGACATGGTGTCATCACAGCTTTGACGTGCGTCGAGATTTACAATTAATACTGGCACGCGTACATTTGCTAAAGATGACAAGTGCAAGTTTTTGAGTGAATTTCATAGCGGCTGCGGCGGTTGTGGATGCAAAAATCTTGGCATCCGAAAAAATTACAATATTCTTATACCGTGCACCTGTGGCGGATTTAGACGTCAAATCCGTCGGTGAATGATGACGGCTGTGGGGCCCTGTTAGACCGTCACATCATGTCTAATCCTCCAGTAGTAAGAGTGGCGAAAAGAGGAAACAGTATTATTTGATCGATTACCACTCAACCAATAGTAGCTATATATTGTGTATGTGCGTGTGTATGTGTAAATGTGTGTGCCGTATATCTATATAGATTTACATGAGGATTATATTTCACAAGCTCTACAAAGCTATTTATGTTATATACTCGTATTTCAAGTATAATTGTTTATCGAATGCAGTTTTTTATCCTGACAGTGATCTATTAAGAGTACACGATTTGAGGGGTGTTGTACAACGTGTAAGACTATAATGTGTACATAAATATAAAATATAGGTATTACAATAATATACTTCGTCAACTTTTGAATACCGCGCGATATTTTTTAAAAAAAAATCATTTTTTTCGACATCCGTGGAAAAAGTACTGGCTTGATACGTAAATTATTATTATTCACTAGTATTTTCTATATTTTCACTCTCCCTTTGCCACTCACTATTGATTTCTGTGTATCTGGTTTTACTTCTCTGTATTTAAAATTTTTATTTATTTATTTATTTAAATTTTAAATAGGCGAAGCCCAAATACATAATTATTATATATATATAGACAATAATTTCATAAAACTAATGTTACAATTATTAGATACAATATAATAGTATAATATTATTATATAATTAAGACTTATAGTAAGTTTTAAATGAATGAAAGTTTGGTGAGATGAAAATATCAATATTTAATTTATTTATTGCTTTCAAGATTCTGTTTACGGGGGTGTCGCTTGCATAGTTGGTTATTTCTAAGTTGATATAAAATTTATTTTTAATTCGAACACTACGTGTAGGAACGTGGAAAGAAAAGTGACTTAAGAAATCTGGACAGTCAATTATGCCGACAAAAAGTTTATAAGAAAAGTATAAATCTAATCTTAAATGACGATTTTTTAATGTTTCAAGGTTAAGGATGGATAAAATAGGGGAGTAAAAAGAATGTGGTGCCCTAGGTATGGAACATTTAAAAGCAAAGAAACGTAAGAATTTTTGCTGGATTTTTTCTAACTTTTGTTTGAAACCAATTAAGAATGAAGACCATATAATTGAGCCGTACTAACATATAGAGTGTACCAAGGAACAAAATAATGACTTTAGGGCATGTTTATCAGTAAAATCCGAACAATTACGAATAATAAATCCAATTATATTGTTTGATCTGTTTTTGATGTTATTTATGTGATAATCAAATTTAAGTTTAGTGTCAAAAAGAATATTGAGGTCCTTAACATGCCTATTAGTTCGATTCAACCCTACTCCATCGATATGATAGTGAAAATTAGAAAGGACTCGAGTTCTGAAAAAGTCATTATCTGACATTTATTGGTATTAAGAGTAAAATTATTTAAATACACCATTTATAGTGAATATTCATGTCAGATTAAAGTAAATTAGCATCGAACCTTTTTGTGAGTTATCTCTTTTCTAACACAGTAAATATTTTATGGTTAGGTTGCCCTTGTGTTTTCCTTGCTCACATATTGTGTAAGAAGAGATATAATTTTTAAAGTTATTCTACATTGTTTCTCTATAAGTAATTTTTTAATTTTTGTATTTTTCGTAAATGTTGATGATTCGATATAATTATTACTCGTTGAATGGTATCATACTGCTTATTATTTAATTTAAGAACAAAACGAAAACTGCTATACATTTTGTTCAATAAACATACATTGCCATTAAATAAACTTAGATCGTATAAATTAAAAAAATATTTTTCTCGTTTTTTTTTATAGTAGTTTTTCTGTACACTAGGTAAAAATCACTCATGGAAGAGAAATAATGCCAATGAATGGTACAATTCAATAATGTATATTCTTAAATACTCACAATTAAAAAATAATTAAAAAAATGTTATACACAGAGTTGTAGAATAATAAAATAATGTTTTTTTTTACACAAAGATTTTTTTTTTTTAATTATAACATGGAAAAAATTTAGATCAAACGATTCTATCCTGTAATATATATATATATATATATATATATATATAGTTGCCTTTCTTGCATAAAATAACGGTCTTGTACAAATGATTGTTGTAGTTTTATATTTTTTATAACATGCAATAACGAAAAAAAATTTCAAACAAACAACATTTATAGTATTATTAATTTTTTGCGTTAAATTGAAATATGGAAAAATTAAGATAATATATGGTACAATTAATGTATTTATATTCTATATATATATAGGCCTTGATAATATTTTAACTGTAATATTTAACTTTTTTCAAAACCTATTGAAACTATACGAAAAATGTAATATAACGTAAATATAACGAATTTTAATTTAGTGATAAAAATAAAAATAGGAGATAACAATTGATTTCGTCAAAATTTTACTACGGAATGGTTATTTTTGTGACATTCTAATATTTTTTTATTTTTTTTTTTTTTTTTGGTTATAAAGAAAATCATATGAAGATCTTGTTTCTAATTTTAAAACCTGAAGTGTAAAAATTTAACATTTCATAAATTTTTAATAACAAAAATGAAGGCGATTATCAATCAGATTAATTTATTTTCTATATTTATATAGTATTAATATATTAATATCAAGACAAACATTTTATCTTTTTATCAACAACTATTTTTTATTTTTTAATATTAATTTTTATTTTTATAAATATAAGATTTTGAGTTACATTTTCAAGACTATTTAATACCTAAATTATCTAAAAATCTAAGAAACACGGGAATTCACATTTCCTTTTGTAGCTCAAAAAAATAACTTTAGAAAATTATTCCATCCATTCCATCTACAGGAAATAGTGACATGAACTTTCAGTGAAAATTTAATTTTCATTAATACTTACGATGAAAAGAAAAGTTCAATTTTATTAAAAATTGGTAGGTCGTAAATTTTTCAGTTTTTCATAACTATTAACAAGACTATTCAAAAATGTGTAAGATGACTACATTCAATTGTATTAACAAGAATATATTCCTTAAAATAATTCTCATATTATTGTGATATACACAGCGATCCTTCTGGTTAGGTTAGTTTAATCGTTTACACAAACTAAAAAAATAAAAATAGTGTGACAAATAAAATTGGTAATAAATTGTGTAGGTACGAATACTGATTGAATCACGAAAGCAATGCGAAAGACTACGCATGACATCAGTTTTTTCAAAACCAAAAAAAATAAAAAGATAAAAAATAAAAGTTCATATCAAATATCAGTTAAAATTTGAAGTTTTTTGAAATTTGTTAAAATTTTTTTCAATTATTCGGAAAACTCTAAGGAAATTAAAAAAATACCCCTTGAAAACACCAACTATAAAATATTATAACATATATAAATATATAATTTATATTATAATATATTAATAATATATATAATATATTAATATTAAT